CGCCATCGAATTTAGCCGGAGAAAATTGTACTCAATGGCTTGAAGCATCTTACTGCTGCTTGTTTCGTCGTTTAGATGATGGAATCATATAGCACTTCTTTATTTTGGTCAAGCCTAATCTGCTCGTAGGTAACCGGATGACCGGAAAGGCGATGGAGGTGGCATACTCTCAAAGGTTATATAACTGCAAGGTGCTTGCTATTTTGCAAGAATATGCAGAAAGCAAAGGGAAATGGCGCTGGAAGTTTGTCCCCCCCCCCAACTAGATTTCGCTCCTGGCGAAATTTTGAATTCTTTTACTTTATGTTTGGAAAGTATTGCTGTGCCTGCAGCGTTGACCAACGCAATAAGTAAGAATGAGAAATACTTGAAGCTATCTGTAAACAACTTATTTACGAACAGTGTTGACAATTCAAAGTGAGCATCTACTAATATGGTAATAACCATTTGGCAAATTTTGTAACGCTCGCCGGTCTTTGACTGGACATCTCTCAACTCGCAGTAACTCACTATGCCAGATCCTTCCAAGAATCCAGAATCTTTTACGTAAGGAGTTCCGAGCTTCGTCAAACTTCCCTACGTATTACGAGTTATGATCTACAGTGGCAAAGTTGATCCGACAGCCCCAGCAGATGAACCTGAGCAGGTCGGTATATCGGAATTTATGGAGGAGCAACTCGAGAGAGCTAAGGCCGGCCAAAGTAAAACATCCCAAACTGGTACTGAGGTAAGGAGTTCGAAAACAAGGATGGAAAAGGGGCAGATTTAATTTCATATTCCAACAAATTGTTGTAGACCGACTCTTCAACGGCGGGTGGGAAAAAGAAAAAGAAAAAGAAGAAGAAGAAAAAGACGAAATGGAAGAGAAAGAGGGATAGATTTGAGTCACAGAATTTTTTGTTGCGTATCGAAGGCACATTATGTTGTGCATCTATAGGTATGCGCTTTTGATGTTTGTACTTCTTATGCGTTAACTTAAATTACTTTTCAGTGATCGCATTTATATGGGCTTGTTCAATATTCATCGCCTTGCTCATTTTTCTGATATGGGCCGACTTCAATATCACGGCGACAACACAATCAGTGAAACAGTCATCATCATCATGATCTGCGAGCTGTGTTTGACGATGTTTTTTGTATAACATTTGTAGCTCCGAATAAAGCCTATAAGTGGTTCATTATGATTTAGTTACCAAAGATGTGTGGCGAAAGTCATGTGCAAATTATAACTTTGATTTATATTCCAAAAGGTCGCAGAGTTTGTTAATGATTATAATGAGCAGTAGGATGGGAACAAGACCGCTCATATTCTGTTAGGCTTTGGCCATACATTACCAGTGTTACCCGTGCTGCCCGTGTTACCAGTGTTACTCGTGTTACCCACGTTACCGGTATTGCTCGTGTTACTGGTGTTACCCGTGTTACT